TTTTAAAAAATCCAATTTAAATGTTTTAAAAAATCTAATTTTTAATTTAAAAAGAAACAACAATTTTTATCCACCCTGCACGCACAAAATCAAGACAGAAATCTATCTGAAGCTTCTTGCTGATCATGGGAAAGATCACTAAGGAAACAGACCCCTCCCTTCTACCACCACCAACCCGCCCTCCCCCATTTATTATATTCTTTTTTCCCCATCCTTTCCTTCCTGTCCATCAAGTTGTTAAGAAAAAAATAATCCACTCCTGCCAATAGAGATTTTCACCGAGCTTTAGAAACTATGTCAAGACTGACAACGTTTGCATTAATATCAGCTGGACATTTGAATTGATATTTTCTTCCCAAACAAACGAAAACCGGACTTCACAAGAGCCCACTAATTCAATGGAAACTCCGTGGGACAATTGTTGCAATGAATTGTGATTAATGCACAAGTTTTACTTAATGCAGCTACCAAAGGCAAGCACTGTACCTCACTTTCACGGAACAGCTCACCCAGCCATGCAGTGAATTTTGTGACTAATAATAAACATTATCATCTCCTCCACTCCGCATCCAGTTTAACTGCAAAAGCCAAATTAAATAAGCAAGACCTCCCTCCAATCCAGAAAGAAAATACATCTTTACAAGGGACATTTCTTCTCCTTGTGACAACTGCCCCCTCTCACCGCATCTGGTAGGTTGGCCTCATGCTGAGAGGGCTAAATACATCAAAACTCTTCCAACAGACATTTCTAAGGTTTTAGGGCTGGCCGGTACTTTTATGGTTCAACTGTAAAAATCGCTAAGTAGGTTACGTTCAGCCACGACATTCCTAACTAAACTCATGAGCTGAGAGACTGAGCATTTTGCTTGACTGGGCAAAAGAACAGTGTCCCCTACGCGGCTGGTTTTCCTTTAATTTTTTATAAATCTGAGCTTATTGCTCTAAAAAAGAGAAAAACAGATGGAAGAGGAAAAAAAGCTAATTAACATCTAAGCAGGAGGCCAACCTGCTTTTCCTCCCTCGGATAATTCTCGCTACAAAGAATTCTCACCGTCAGAAGCTGCAAGGATAGTAATTTTAAAAATCACTACCAAATCCTTTAACAGTTCCCCTCTAAAAGATATTTAGGACAACGTGCCATCAGTCAGACTGATGTTCCTCAGATACTCTCATACTGCCAGCTGGAGAATTCTTAATGCTTCATTATCCCCCCAGGTTAATTAATGGAAAATGCATTAATGCCCCTGTGTTATCCCTGCTAAATAATGCCAATAATTATACAATGACACAAAATAAATGGCATGTGGTTTTATGCCATGATTTGTTACGAATCAACATGTAGGAATGGTGTTAACAGATGAGACCCAGGCAAAAGAGGCAGAAAGGTTGCTCAGATAAAAGATTTCAGTTTATTCGGCATGTGAAATGCACCGGAATTAAGACTTTGAAGAAAACAAAGCTTGCCATTTCTCACAAGATAAGAGGGTTTCTAAATCAACCAATAGTTCCAGGGGTGGGATTCAAAATTTTTAGCAAGGGTTTCTCTGCCTGGTTGCTGGGTGGGCATGGCCACGATGAGAGTGGCCTAGTCAGCCTTCTGCACCACGGTAGAGGGGGGGGCATTTTTGCCCTCCCTGGGCTCTAGAGCAGTGTTTCTCAACCTTGGCAACTTGAAGATGTCCGGACTTCAACTCCCAGAATTCCCC